TGAAACCATAAGCAGCTGACACAGGGCTCCTTCCTTCTCCAAGGGATGGTTTGATCTTGGAGTAGGACAAAGCCTGCATATGTGGGTCAAAAAGGCTTAGTATTAGAGCAGAAGGAGTCCAAGGTGCAGATGCAGGTAACCCTCTATTCCCTTTCCCTTTTAGTAGCTGAGACCCATTGGAATCCCAAGATAACCCAGAGAAGACAAACCAGTTTGGTTCCCACAATCGTAGAAAGTTATGTTTTTAACCTTTGATGCTTAAGGAAGCATGCTATGTACATATCAAGTGTGGCTCAAAGGAGATATATTTTAGTCAAGGCTTATATAATTGTGTAATGAATGATCACTTATGTATACGAAACAACAAACCTCAGCAGGGCCAGGGCAGCTGTTAGCAGAGATGAGATGGGAGAAATAAGCCTGCCAGCACCTCCGTGCCTCCAGATTTGTTGTAAAGGTCTCATTTTACTTTCGTCTTGAGAAAATTCAGTGCTTGTCCATTAGCAAGAAAGTTTTTGATGGATCTAGAATTTTCTCAACACCCAAGGATATTTTTTGTATCTTCCCCTTTATCTAGCATCAACAAATCGGGTGAATACCAAAACTATATAAATGTTACTTGTCGGTCAGGTGGAAGAACAGTGACGACGGAACATTTTAAGGCAGAAGAAAGTTTGAATTATCATTGAGTGACCCTGTTTAATAAGTAAAGGAATGCAAATTGATTTGTGGCCATGAAATAGGGCCAATCCTTGAGAATAAAGAAATAGTAACTCAAAAAGGATTTACTTCAAACTTCTGCTCCTTAAGCAGCAAGTCAAGAATAGTCTCCCAATTCTAGTTCAAGCTCCTATTTCACCAACACTCTACCTCTCCTCCCAGTATAATTTCCTCACTGCAGAATTTCTCTGTTGATGAGGAAATTGGTTATGGGTTGGAGGAGGTATGGGGATTCCTCCCTAATAATTGGCCATCTTACCCTACCCCTCAGTAACCAAAATTTCAGAGTTTAATTGTCCTGGTTGTATGGACCAAACACAGCATTGCATTTCAGAACTGGGCATAGATGGCCAGTATTCAAGGAAATCTCTTGATTCCAATATAAAGGGTTGTAGAATTCTGGACTGGACTATGGCTTACAGCCAGTATGTGATGCCTCTTCTGAGGCACCTGGACAGTGTTAGGCCATGTCTGCCAGAGCCTCACCCAGGACCCCCAGGGCCAGAGCATCTACCCCATGGCTGAAGGACCAGTCTGCGAGACTTGAAGTATACAAGCGAATCCTGTCCATGAGGACAGTCAAGTCCTAATGACAGATGATTTCTAAAGCCTTGAAAGCCCAGGGTTAGGATGTGCAATGCTGGTGGGCTCTTGGGAGACGCCAGCTGCCATTCAGCTAAGAGATCTACTGTTGGTGATTAGGTCACCAAGGAGCTATGCTCTAGAATTATTGACCCATCTGAGAAGGCTCCTTAGTTCACATAGGGTCATGGAATTGACTGGAGCCAAATGGGTTTATCCAAGCCAAGGCGGAAGAGGTGGTGTCGACTTGGCAGAAGATCAGGAGGCTTCCATGAGCAGCAGAGGCTTCTCCTCTCCATGTTCTTCTTTCATTTAACAAAGAGGTAGAGGCTCAGCAGGCAAATTTCTTTAAAACTGATTGCCACCCAATACCAGAGGATGTTGCAGAGAGCTGTACAAGGAGTTCTGAGAGCATGAGACAGGGGCAGTGAGTCCTGTCTGTGTTGGTCAGAAGAAGGCAGAAGCAATGGGGAGGAGAGACTGAGCTGAGTCTTGAATGAGGCAGAGTTTGCCGGTGTGGAAAATGAGTGTGCCAAGCAGATGCAATATGAATGAAGGCTAAGCTAGCGGAACCGGGAAAGGGTTGCTTTTCCCTCCTCCCCTGTCCCTTCTGTGTCTCCCCAGCTCCTCACCCCTCCTCTGTGGGCTCTATGGTGCTGTCACATGACACTGCTTGCTCTTCCAAACGCAGCCTGCCCTGGCGTACTTCACTGGTTTACGCTTAGGGTGCTCTGTCTCCTCTTGTCTTCCTCACAGGTCTCTACCTGCCCTTCAAGATCCGGATTAAAGACCATCCCCCGTCAGAGCCTGCAGAGGCAGAGCGAGCCATTCCCTTTGCTTTGTTCCAAAAGCACAGACCTCACCTGCAGCACTTGTTATGACATATCACATCTTACTTCTTCTGGCTTCCCCAACTCCACTCTGAGTTCTTGAAGGAAGCACTATTTCTTATTCATCCCTCACCTCGGGCAGCTAGAGTAGTGCTGGGAGGTCAGTTATTTTTCTAGTTAATAATCCCTGGTATAATAATAATAATAATAATAATAATAATCCCTGGTATAATTTTCCCACTGCTGGTTATGCCAAATACTGCCTTACATTAACCAAAGTAGGGTTCAAGATTAGCACATGAAAATATAATTATAATTAATATCTCTTACATGTGGAAGGATCCAGGACTGAATCCCTGTCTTTCGACTGCTTGTACAGTGACCTTTATAAAATTATAGAATGATCTACATTCTTCACAAAAGAGCAAAAGATAATATAATGAAAACCCATGAGTTCTCCACATAAAATGAGCAAATGTTAACACATTTTTACATTTTTTAAGAAATAAGAATCTGTTTTGTGTGTGTGTGAAGATATTTACACCTATTGATGGATATTCAGGTCATTTATAATTTTTTTGCTCTAACAAACAATGTAACAATGACCATCACTCTAAAAGATGCTTGTGTACATTCCCTCGTTTGCATGGGAAGGTATAAACCTAGAAGCAGAGTTTCTGGTCATAGGAATTGCTTGTCTTCAGCCTCATTAGGTATTGTCAAATTGCTCTCCAAAATAATTCCAGTTTCTGCATCTACCAGCAATGTATGAGCGGTCCTACTTAGCCATATTCTCACCAACACTTAGTATTGTCAGACATTTTAATTTTTGCCAACCAGAAGGGTATGCAGTGGTATTTCAAAATTGTTTAGGTAAGCATTTCTATATTTACTAGAGGAGCTGAATATTTTTTTCATATGCTGATTTACCATTTTTCAAGGGATTGCCTGTTCTGATCCTTTGTCATTTTAATATTTACTTGTACCAATTATTTACATACCCTGGACACTAATCTTTTGCCTTTTATATTTGTTGAGAACATCTCCCATTCTTGTCTTTTAACTTGATTATAGTGTCTTTTTGTCATTCAGAAGTTTAGACACTTCAGGTAGTCAAAGTTATCCTTTTCTTGAGAAACAATTCCTATTTTCCAAATCTGTGTTAAGAAACCCTTCACTGCCCTGAGGATATAAAATCTTCCATAATTCATCCAACAGATTTAAAGTTGTGTTTTTCCCATTAGTTTTTTTAATACATCTAAGGCTACATTTGGTATGAGATCACAATCAGACTTTTTTTTAGTTAGAAATCCAATTGTCCCAGCATCATTTGTGGAAGCGTTTATTCTCCCCCCCAATATGAATCATCTCTTTCCCTGCATAGGTTGAGGTTTGGGCTCCCTATTCTATCCCATTGACTCTACTGTTACATCATGTATGTAGGGTCATTATATCTGATAGGGCAAGCTGTCTGGCCTTGTTCATCCTTTTCAGAATTGCCTTGATTACTTTTAGACCTTTAATCTTTATTTCATTTTTAAAATCAGTTTTTAAATTTTTAATTTTTCCTAGAACTAAAGTTAATAGATTAACTTGGGGACAGTGAGACATCCTTTTGACATGGAGTCTGGAATTGTACCACCACAACATATTGTGTTAGTTTTGTTCGGGTTGGACAAATGTATCATTTCTGGATATGGAACAGAGAAAAATAAATTCTCCTGATAGAATACACCCAACCAAAATGAGAATTCTTAGGATTATTGTACCATGAAAAGGAAGGCAAAAAAAAATTTCTTAAGTATCTATAAAATGGTTTGAAACAAAGAAAAAATAGCAAAAAGTAACTCCCTAGAAGTTAAAATTGTAAATAAGTGCATAAAAAAAACAAAAGTAATCAGAAACCAGTGGAAAATGTTTGCAGTACAAAATGTCAGAGTAGAAGAAGAAAACTGCAACCTCTACAGTGATTAGAATGGTAGGCAGAAATGCAGAACTCTGCAAGCGGGGAGGCATCGCAGGTACAGAAAAGAGTGGGTTCAAATAGAAAAAAACTGCTAGGAACCCACTGCGACGCTCTGAGTGTGAGCACTATGGGAAATATTTACAAGATGAATTGGAGCAGTAGGAAATGGTACCAGTGACACAAGTCAAACTTGGGAAATAAAGAAGCCCCCTTCCAAGTCTAAAATCCTGTGATTTCGTACATCCTGCAGAAACAATTTACCTCTTTTGTTAGTAAGAGGACTCCTTTTTAATATAATGAAAGGCTGTATAGTTTTTCTTCTTTTGTTTGTTAATATGTCTAATTACATTAGATTTCCTTAAATGCTGAACTATCAGGACTTTCCTGAAATAAACTCCACCAATTAATTAATTATTATTCTTTTCAATTTCTGCCGGATTAGTTTAGCTAATATTTTATTTAGAGATTTTTGCATCTATATTTACAAATGAAGTTGGACTCTTTGTTGGGAGGGAGATTGTTTGTCTTGGTCTGTGCTAACTTCATTTAAATGAATTAAAATAGTTTTTCTTCCCTAATCAGAGAAGTAATTTAAATAGCACAAAAATAACTATTTCTTAAAAGATGTGAAACTCACCTGTGAATCTCTTTGGGCCCAGGGTTTACTTTTTTTTCAGTGTGTGGGTATGTGGGGTGGAGTGAATTCTTTAAACAACAATTTTAAGAACTCTAACAGAAAGTCTGAACAATCTTTTGAACAATTTCCAAAGTTACAGAAGTTTCAGGTAATGAGCCCAGCTAATGGATAGGTCAAATGTGAAATAAAGAGTGTGAAGAGAAATAATACAAGGTAAAGACACGTGAACACCTGAGTCAAGCGACATCTGCTTTTGTTTTCCTAGATCAGGAAGTGTGCTGCACCACTGGAATGAAATCTATTACTTTGTGGAACAGTTGGCTCATAAATTCATCAGGTGAGAAACACTGTGCATCTGCTTCACTTGTAGCTCTCTGCCATGAATAAAACCAACCCATGGTTGCTATTGTATTAATTACTAACTATTTGGGGGATGCTTTTTCACAAGGTGGACTCTCAGATCTTGGACCAGAGAATGTTTACTTTGTTTTAATCTTTGCCATATATTAAAGTAACTTTGGGCTTTATGTTTTCAGGAGGAGCCAGATTTGGTTATAAGATCAGAATATTTAACATTCTCCTTCCCTTGTTGAATAATATATTCTTACAAAAGGGTCATGAACATTTTTCTCACACAGTGCATCACTCTGGGGCAACTGGCACATGCTAGCTGGACTCGTGCACAGGGTGTGTAGGGTGTAGGGTGACCAACTCATCCCCCTTTGCCCAGAACTTTCCCAGTTTTAGCACTGAAAGTCTTACATCCTGGGAACCCTCCTTAGTCCTGAGCAAACAGTGACAGTTATTCACTCTAGCTATGTGTCCTATGAGGCAGAATCCCCTGAGCATTCTCAACACCACTTTCCCAGGCAAGGCAATGTATTTTTGAACATAGCCACTGCAAATGTTATGGGAGTCCTAGAGGTACTACTGTCTAGTAAATATGGACACTCACGGGTAAAGGAGAAGAAGCCATTTCACCCTCGCTGTGTACAGCTTCCATGGGGCAACACAACTGTGACAGCTTCCATGAATGTGCTTGAGGCAGGTCGTCAAGGTCTTTGGTAAAATTGGTTTGATCATTGTAAATTCTAACACAGCTCCACTTCATGGTGGACGGCCTCCGTGGAGTCTCCCAGTCGATAGGAGTGACCATAAGTTCTTTGAATAAAGTTCTACATCTCAGAACACAGATTGTCCTCTGAGTCCTGGGTAACAACAGACATGTTCCCTCCAAATTCAGTTACTGGTCTCAGCACATACCTCCCTCCCTGCGTAATTGGAGGGGAAGGGTTAGGAGGTAACCTCTCTGCAGTGCCAAAAATTAGAAGCTGTAGCAGGAAGCATCTAAACCTAGATGATTGGGAAAAAACAGATGCTGAGAGGAGAGAGGGAAGGAAAAAAGTACAGGGAAAGGAGAGAAACAAATACATGGGTGGTGTTAAACAAATCTTTAAGAGAATCATAGAAACTTGGACTTAAAAGTAACAACTTCCCAACCTATCCTAGGAGGAATTCAGTAACCCTCAACTTGAATAGCCCTGGTAAGTGCTGCCTTTTGAGGTAAACAGTCCAGTAGTTGGACAGTTCCAGTTTTCAGAAAAGACTTTTTGTCACTGAGCCAAAACATCCTTTCCTGCACTCTCATCCTTTGGTCCTTTGGAGTGATATAAAACAAATCTGCTTCCACACCCTTAATGGTATCTGCTCTCTCTCTATTTGTTCTTCTCGTGTTCTGTTCCCTCTAAAGCAGAGTAGTCAAATGGAATAGACTTTGAAGTCAGGCAGATGTGGGTTTGAATCCAAGCTCCGTTGTGCAACCATAGCAATGTATTTACCTTGGCTGAACTCTAGTTTACACGTAAGCCTCCTAAGAGAAAACATGTGCAAACCAAGTAGCCCAGAACCCAGCTTAGAGTGGGCACACAGCGGCTCTCTTTCCCAGCTCCCACAGCAATTCCAGACTCTTCACTATCTCAGAATCTAAGAAAGTTGGGACAGGGGGGAACAGAGGGGACCAACAGAGAACGCTTAATCCAATGCCGCTGCTTTATAGCTGAAGAAACTGAGGCCCGGAAAAGTGGACATGGCTTGATCCAGACCACAAGGCACTTCCTCTGGTTGTCTCCTCTGGCCTTCCTTGGCTATGGACCGCTCAAAGTGTGGAACCAAGACATTACTGTCACAAACACTCCACAAGGCAGGGCCTATATTCTGTTGACCACCACAGCCCGAGTGACCATAACAGTGCCAGACACATAGTACATGCTCAGTCAATATTTTTGAATAAGTGAACGAATGGATGATATTCATTTATTTATTTATTTGAATAAATGGTCTAAGGTAGCTGGGACTGCAGAGAGTCAATAATAGTGGCTGATGCTAGTACATATATATCATTTCTAATCCTTGACATTTCAAGTACTTTTATTTGTCTTTGTCCTGACCTCGTCCTATTTTCCTAATTATAATTCTAATTCTTCACCACTTTCCTCAAGCCTTCAACCTACACCTCACACCCATAACTCTCAGCAAGGAACCTCACCTCCTACTTTGCCAACAATCCAGAGAATAGCAGACAAGAGTTCAAGTTCCAGTCTACTCCTGAAAGTCTCTGAGATCCAAATATCCCTCCTATGTAAGGCCAACCTCTCCATTTTAGTCCCGTTTTATCCCATTGTCTCCAGTCTGCTCTTTGTTTCTCTCTTATATTTTCCTCTACTTTTCCCCTGGCTCCTTCCTCACAGTCTACAGACAGAAACTAGTCTCGCTTGCCCCTTGTCCCGGAAAAACAACACGACAATCAATCTCTCAATCATGTCTTCCTGTAGATACGATCCTGTTTCTTCTCTGGTTTCTCACTCATATATCTTGAAAGACTGTCCCTGCATATCCTTACTTCTCATTCATTCCTTAACCCACTGCCATCTGTCCTTCATCCCACCTTCCACCTGCTTGCTCTCACCAAAGTCACTAAGGGATGTCCTAGAGCAGTGGTTCCCCAACCTTTGTGGCACCAGGGACCAGTTTCATGGAAGAAAATTTCTCCATGGATAGGGTTGGGGGCAGGGAGGGATGGTTTCAGGATGATTCAAGCTCATTACATTTATTGTGCAGTCAAACCTCTCTGCTAATGATAATTTGTATTTGCAGCCACTCCCCATTGCTAGCATCACCACCTCAGCTCCACCTCAGATCATCAGGCATTAGATTCTCATAAGGAATGTGCAACCTAGATCCCTCACATGCACGGTTTACAGTAGGGTTCACGCTCCTGTGAGAATCTAATGCCAAGGCTGATGTGACGGGAGACAGAGCTTATGCGGTGATGCGAACGATGGGGAGCGGCTGTAAATACGGATGAAGGTTTGCTCGTTTGCCCGCCACGCACCTCCTGCTGTGCGGCCTGGGTCCTAAGAGGGTTGGGGACCGCAGTCCTAAAGGACAAATTGAGGGAGCATCTTGCAGTCCTTGTGTGCTGGATAGAGTGGCTTCATTGGATGCAGACTTATCCCTCCTTGGAACTCTCCTCCACTGGCTCTGGATCTCCTTCCTCTCACCCCCATCAGCCAGCCCTTTCCACGTCACTGGTGGCTCTGCATTTGGCTCACTTCCCTTCTCACTGCTGGCACACTCTCTGAACAACTTTGCCCACACGTCAGTATGCTAATGACGCCCACATTATGCCTCTAGCCTGGACTCATATGCTGATGGCCTCTTGGAGACCTAAATTTCTCACGTTTGAATTCTTTCCAGAGCTAAACTCAATAGAAGGGGAGCAGTACAATACAGCGGTTAAGAGCCCAAATTGTAGAATCAGAACACTTGGTTTCAAGCCCCAGGTCTGCCACTCGAGCACTGTGTAACCTTGGGGAAATTGCTTCATCTTTCAAGGCCGCAATTTCCTTCTGTGGAAAATAGGAATAATAATATTATAGTATCAATCTCATAAAGTTGTTCCAAGAGTAATGAGATCATACATCCAAATCACTGATGATAGTGGTGGCACATAGTAAGAACTCGATAAGGGTGGCCATTATTATATTATTACAGTCATTATGATTAATATTATTATCATTTAGGACACGGCGTCCTGCTGCCCTGGCACTGGTGAGGTGCTAACTGGCAGCACGGTGTCATGGACAGAGAACCGAGGTCTGTTTTAAGAGACCAATATTCAATTCACCGGGTATTGCTTGGGCTCCTACCAAGTATTAAATACCATGTTAAGGGCTTCCAAAGATGTATCAGACCTATGGTAATAAATGTAGACTTTATTCAGAGGCAGTAGGAGCCATTGAAAGTTTTATAGCAGATAAATGACAAGATCTGATTTATACTGTAGGAGCAAGACACCAGCTAGGAAACAATTGCAATAGTCAGACAACTGAGTCAAGGTCCTAACCTAAGAGATGGGAAGGGGACAGGTTTGAGAAACTTTATGGGAAGTGAGAACTGTAAAGTTTGGAGCCAGATCAGGTGTGGGAAGTTACTGCATTGTGAAGAAATAGGTTGATGCCGCCATGGGTGGTGAGTAAGTTGACCCCACAGGAAGGGTGAATTCCATTGCTGAATGTGCTTCAGTCAGATAGTCCATCTCGCGTGCTGAGAAACGTGTTTGGTCCTCTGCTGAGAGTGGCTCTGTCTCCCAGAGTGTGAATTTTACATTAACAAGGCTCCTGAGCTCTGCCGTATAAAAACCACACCCATTTATGCATTAATAATGAGAAGCATAACTACCAACTGGAATAGATACTCCTGTGCCCAGCCAGCACATTCTTTCCTTATAGGATAACCTCCTTGGGAAGCCAAGGAGAAAGTAAAAGTTGATGGTGACCCCTCTTTCAGATCAAAGGGAGTTCGCTGTCTGATGTTACTGGCTGACGACATGAAGCTGCAACAGTCAGAGACACTCTCTTCATTATAGAATACACCAGACTACTGTGGAGACACTGTCAAATTTTGTCTATTGGGGACCCCTTTTACAGACACCATGCAGACCGGTCCCCTTTTAGGGGAATACTTCTGCATATAGAATGCAGGACAATGAATTTATCTTTCTTACTTGTAATCCACGCTCACAAGCTATGGTGTCAAATCAGAAGCAGCCTCCAGGAAGACACAGGGGGTCTTCTCTTCAGTTCACAGCTTCACATCAGCGCTGGCTACTAAACACTTTAGCACCAGCCTTGGCAGCCCCCTGGGGGACATGGGTCTTTAGCTCTGACAGCCGTGATAGAAAGGGGAGAACAGGGAGGAAGCCTGGAAGGGAATGGCATGCCACAGTCTTTCTGTCTGCTCTAATTGAGTTTCTTTTCCTTTGCAGTCCACAGCTAAGAATGTCATTTATTGTCTTCTCTACTCGAGGAACGACCTTAATGAAACTGACAGAGGACAGGTAAGGATATTTCCCATCCCTGACATTCAGAAGTCCACCTCTTCCCAAGCAACCCTGAGACTTATGCCCTGGTGCCAGCTCAATCTGTCAATCATTTTAATCTAGTAGTTCCCTCTTTTAACCTAAGCCTTTAACTTTGTACGTGGACCCTTCTGCTAGTTTATTTTGCTTTGACTTTCGAGAGAAAGTGGAAATTTTATAAATGATTAAATAACATTAAGATAAATCTTACATTTGACTGGTGACTCAGCTAACTTGGAGCAAAATGTTAGCAAACTAAATTCTTGGGGAACTATATTTTCTTTTATTTACATTAGATTTATTTTGTGGATTAAGGTTTCAGAGATATAATAAGTACACTGTGAGAGAGGTAAGAGCTTGACCTATTATCATCCCTAATTATCCAGGAAGGGAATAGAAAGGGAGGGTTTATGGTACAGCAAAATAAAAGGAAATTTAAATCAGGTGTATAAGAATGTTGTTGACATAAAAGGAATAGTTAGACCTAGCTTAACAAAAACATTATTTTGGGTTTTACCACATTTTACTTGCAGATGAAAACTAGCAATAACAGAGATATGCCATTTATTCATAGTTAGGATGGCATGCTGGGGAGCAGAGAGGACAATTTTCCCTCTTTAATGACACTGCACACTTTTTAAAAAGTGATATCGCCTGTGTGAGGAAGCACCATGGGGGACATGTGGGATTATTGGCAGACTTACATATGACACATTGGAAAAAGAAAAGGAGGAAGGGCAAGTTCAAAGAGGGCAGGAGGACTTCATTCTATAACATTCTTGTAGAAATGAGAAAGGACTAATAGGATGAAATAAAGTTTCTGGCTCAAATCAGCAAATCTGAGCTACTCTCCATTTTTCTCCCTGCCTTTGTTTCCCATCTATAAAAAAAGAGTGCTCTGTACCATGTAGAAGTTTTCAAATCCTGTTCTTCCTTCAGCAGTGTCTATTATATGCACGCAAGTCATTTGAGATGTACAGAAACCCCATTTAAAAAACAGGAGTTTCTGATTCCTTATGAGCAGAAGGAGAAACTGAGGCTCTATCACCTTCTGCAGCTTCTGGGAAGTTGGGGAGGGCAGATGGGGTCAGGGACTTATAAACACTATCAGAAGGCTGATTTTGGTTTGTTATGCTTGTTGAAATTAGTCATCTGCTGAATCTACTTGGAATCTAATATTTTTGTGCCTTAGCTTCACTACTGCCAGTTTCCCTTGCTAAATGGAAGACACAGGCTAGATCCTGATTGCGGGAAGCAGCATTTAATAGGGGTCAAATGTGCATCAAACAACAGGCAGAAATGCCTTGCTAAAGGCTGTGTGGGCTTCATTCATATGGTGACAGCTTGGCCCAGGTCAGCTGGCAAAGCACAGTGTGGCTCAGTGACACATCCCAACCCTTATCAGCCTCTGGAAGAGATGTGGGCCAGTGCTCTTTTTCTGAAGTACTTTCTCAGGAGACTGGCTAAAAGAATCAGCCTTTCTCAGATCTTCCAAGCTAATATTGTTTCTGAAATATATGACTCACAGTGTTTTAGTTGGGCACAGAAATTTCCATTGTTCTCTGTATCTCATTTAATAGTCACAATATCCTTATAAGACAGTAAAAGATCCATTAATATACCCATATACTATTTGAAGAAACTCATAGAATTAAGAAATAGTTGTTCAAAAGTAAGACATGAATTAGCAAAGACTCTCATTTCGACAACAGCAAAAAGTTTTGGCTAAATCCAAAGAAATAAGATCAAAGATGTACCATTGACCCTTGGACAACATGGGTTTGAATCCACTTATATGTGGATTTTTTTCAACCAAACACACATTGAAAATACAGTATTTGTGGGATGCAAAACCTGCCTATATGGAGGACCAACTTTTCATGTAGGCTGTTCCACAGGGTCTCCTGTGTGGTTTGAGTCTGTGTGGATTTTGGTTGTATGTGGGGATTCTGGAACCAATCAATCTCTCATGTATAGTGAGGGACAACTGTATTTGCATCCAGTTCTTGGGATCAGATACCCATAGGGGAAAACTATGAGAAGGTTGAATAAATAGAATGAAAAATAAATACAATGTGTTAAAATATAGTAAAGAAACTATAATTAGAATAACATCTACCATTTATGAGTATCTTTTATCTGTTAAGTACTTTACATATCATTTTTTATTTATCTTCATATAACCATTGTTACTCCATTTTCTAAGGAGAACTGTGTGGTCATTTGAATCCTTGCATTAAATGAAATGTGCTGTTTTTCTCTAACTACTTTCAAGATACCTTCCTTTTCGGTTCCTAGCAGTTTGATTATGATGTGTTTACCCTATTTTGGCTTTGCTGAGCTTCTTGAATCTATAAATGTATGTCTTTCACCAAATTTAGGGAGTTTAAATTATTTCTCAAGTATTTTTTCTGCACTAATCATTTTTTCCTCTCCTTCTGGAACTTCAATGACACACGTTAGGCCATTTGATCTTCCACATGTCCCTGAAGTTTTGTTTATTTCTTTTTCAGTCCTTCTCTCTGTTTCTCAGACTGGATAATTTCTATTGATCTTACTCTTTCCTCTGTCATCTGTATTCTGCTGTTGAGCTCATCCACTTAATTTTTTATTACAGATATGTTGTATTTTAGTTCTAAAACTTTCATTTGGTTCTTTTTAAGTTTTTATTTGTTGCTGAGAATTTCTATGCTTTCATCATTTTAAACACATTTACCTTTACCTCATGGAGAATAGTTATCATAGTATAGTTACTTCAAAGTCTGTCTTATAATTCCAGTGTCTTGAGGATTCGCATCTTAGTTGTCTTTTCCCTTGAGAATTGATCACATTTTCTAGGTGCTTTGTATGTGGAGTAATTTTAAAGCATATCCTAAAAATTTTGAATTTTATGTTGTTTAGACTCTGGATCATGTTCAAATCATCTGCAAAATTTTGGGTCTCTTTTTTCTTTGTTTGCTTCAGCAAGCAAAGTCACCCTGGTTAGGTTCAGACCACAAGTTCTATCTCTTCTGTAGGTGGTGGTTTCAATGTCAGTTCAATTTTCAAAGACTTTGCTAAACTCCTTTGGATCTGTCCAAAGTCCAGAGCTGCACTTTGCAGTTCAGTGATGAGCCTGGATCTTACGCAGCTTTATACACAGAATAAAGGGATCCCCTTCTCCCCATCTGTCATCTCCAGGATTCTCCTCACACCATCTGGCCCACTGAGGTCCTCCTTTCCAAGTCCTCTAGCAAGAAAAAAGGAGTTTCTCTTGGAGTTTCGGCCACCCACACTGCTGTCCCAAAGTTCTCCACTGAGGCCATCCTTGGGGCAAAGCCGAAAGTAATAAAAGAGAAATAAAAATGGGGGTTCTCCCCACATTCTTAGAACCACAGGGGCCCCTTTTCCCAAGAGTTCTCAGAAATATGGGAATTTTCTTGGCCAGGGGTGGGGAATCCTTTCATGTTGGAAGGCCACATTAATTTAGCTGTAATCAAATAAGCCCACATTCAAGAAACTTCAATTAGATGTACTTAAAAATGTACCTATTTTGTAAAAATCTAACTACTATGTACTTAATAATTTCAAAAAATGAAAACTATTTGCTAATTTTAAAGTTAACTAACCTTTTAATGACTATGTTGTGTCTGCTTTTTGTTGGTAAGCATTTGAATATTTGGTTGCAGTGTGGAGGTCCGCAGTTTTCAGTTGATCCTGTGAGTGTCAGTCATTTGTGGCCTTAAGGGTATCTTGATTTGGATTAGGCAGGAGAATGTAGATTCACAGCAATAAGTGGTTGAAAAGCAACAAAGCATTTTATGAGCATTTTGCCGAAGGCATGGGTATTTCACCACATTTTTCCAAATTTTAATTCGATCTTTCTTAACATCAAACAATGACTTTAAAATGTCATCTACTAAGAGCTCAATCAATTCTATCTGTAGTTCTTTAGGTGCCTTGGTGATATCAACTAGGTGAGGCTGAAGTGCTAATTTGAGTGTGATGTCACAATTCTCAAAGTCAGTGAAACTTTGATTTTATTCTTCAATCAATAAGTCTATAATAGCTGCATATTCTTTAAATGATTCGCATATATCATCCTGCTCATCAGTGACCTTTGATAACTGGGGAAAATGTTCATACGAGTTTTTCTTTTGAAGGAGTGTTTTGAAAAAAAATAGCTTAGATTTTTTGCTACATATCTTATATAGACTTAGGTTTACCTTGCAAAGAAATATTCAAGTCATTTTGATTTGACATGATATCACACAGAAATGCTGCATTCCTATAGAAATCTAATGTCAATAATTTACATTGCTGATTCTGGTCTTCATAAAATTTAACTATCTGTTCTCACAGAGATAAAATTTTGGCTAACACCTGTCCCTGCAATAGCCAATGCACGTTAGAATGATATGGCAAATCCACATTGAATACCTCATTGTTCATCTTTAGCGTGTTACAAAACTGATGATTCTGTGTTGCATTTGCATGAATATCATCAACAATACTTATAACTTGTTGCAAAGTGTCACTTAAAATAGTAGCTTTAGCACAGAGATTTTGCTGATGCAAAATACAATGAAAAGAAATGAAAGCGTCTAAATCTGCTAATTTTTTTTATCTGTGCAATAAACCCTTCATGTCTTCCTGTTATGGAAGGTGCATCGTCTGTACATACACTCACTAAATTTACCAAATTCAGTCCAACTTCACCATATTTACTTTGAAAGTTGTTGAAGATATCTATTGCCCGTGTTCTGTTCACAAGAGTGCCCAAAGCAAGTAACTCTTAGTAGCAAAGAAAATCTTCTGTTACAACCCAAATGAAGTATAAAACCTGTGCTGAGTCAGTAGTATCAGTTGATTCATACAAAGCAATCGAATAATATATATTTTCCTTTTGAAGTATTGCATGAAGTTGTTCTGTTAAGTTGAAGGCTAATTCATGCTACCAATCAGTTATGGGTCTCTTTAAAAGAGGCAGTTGTTTGTAT